CGTGATTTGATTTGCGTTGGAGTTGAGCAAGGAAAGCATTTATGAGGGTTTGGGGGAAACCATTTGGCCGATTTGAGTCCAGAGGGGGGAAGACGTACCTGTACTCGAAGATGGGTGGGACGTTGAGTTTGGAGGAATCTAACTTAAATGTCCCCCTTCTTAAAGACAGTGATTGAGGAATGACAGTGAAAGTGTCTTCTTCTTTTTTGGGATCATTTTCCTGGTGGGAAACAGCTGCGTGTTAAAAAATGCACTAATTAATTAAGTCCAGAATTTTTTTACAGTTCTTGGATTAAAAATAATTAATTTTAAAAGCTTTTCATATTTTAAATTTTTTTTCCTATGAAATTTATATAATTTTTGTTCCAAAGCCCATTTAATCTATGCATCATAAAAATTTTGACTAATAGGGGAAAATGTATTAAAATACTTACATTGTACTATCTTTAATGCACAATAATTTTTTGTTTTTTTTCATTTCCAGGTGAGGGAAAATTTATTGGTGGAGACTTAAAAATCCCTCCCGACTATATATGGCATTTTGATGAGCCCATGGCTACATTTTATGCTGCAGAGTTGCTTTAGCCCTTGGCTACTTGCATAGGTAATTAATTGTATAAATTTTATTTGACAGCATAAAGAAAAGATTCTTGACTTAAAATTTTAAACTACATACCTCCCTTTATCCCCTTTTTTTAATTTAATACCTTGTTCTTGTATTTATGTACAGTATCTGGTTTTGGGGGAAGACTTAAAATTGGGAATTACATTTTAACCGAGATCTTTTAAAAAATCTTTGGGCCCAAAACAATTACAACATCGGTTCATTTTTGAAACTTTTATTAACATCTACAACCATAAAAAGTATTAGAAAACAATAAAAATATGCAAAATATGATAAAAACTTTAAACACATGTAAACCTATTCAATAAGTTGGTATAGGTTTTTCTAAAAATTCACAGCGTATTAACAAAAAATTTACTTCATATTTGTGTTGGCCCTAAAAGCAAAGCTGAAATAACCTTGAAGCACAAGTAATATAAAATAATCAAAGGGGGGGGGAGCCATACCGTTAAAAAAAGGGGTGTAGTTGTTGTACCAGTGCTGCACCACTCGGGTGGGGTGGCTGGTGTTCAACCCTTCGGGTTTTCATGCTGAAAGTATTACAATCGCTAAAATCCCGCCCCAGTAACAGTCTCGGAATGCTAAATGAAAAGGGAACAATACACATATGTAAAAAAAGATGATATATTTTTTAAATTTTATAAAAAAAAACATGGGAAACTTTTTGGAAAAAATTTTTTTAATGGATTTACTTCACAATGGATAAATCACAAGAAAATTTTTTACTTCTCACTCAACCCCTAAAAAACCCAAAATAAGCTGAGTCAGTCAATGACTTTAATGAATTTGTTCTAACGTTTTTATTAGTTGATCACTTACCCAGTGTTGGGAAAAGAAAAATATTTCACTTTCATTTTTCATTATGTTTTCCCCATTCTTCAGCAAGAGAAAAACAGTGCCTCCCATACATTTATACGTTTATTTTTTTTCTGTTTTCACTTTGGGGCGGGTTTATCAGAGGGTTTTAAACCCACACACTATATTAATTAGTTCTTAATTTTTCGCCCTGGTAAGTTTTTAGGATGTTAACCAGACAACCTCCTCCCAGACAACAAGGGGCATCTCAAACTCACAGATTTTGGACTAAGCAAAATTACTCTTCACAAAGGTGAATGAATGCTATTTATTTGCATTTTATTGCCTTCCAAAATTAACACGTTTGTTTTGAGGTATGGTACTGTGTACAGGAAAATAAGATACATAGTTTCATCAGCATACCAGTATTAATATATATATTTCTATCAAGAAATGTTAGGTTAAATACACCTACCATCCGACTTACGACCTGCTCGACTTACGACCGTGTTTTTTTTGCCAAATTTCTGGGAAATAAACAACTATTTGTGTTGTACACAGTGTTTATCCTAAACCTTACAGTATAAAATACAGTACTAGCAGCATAAAAAGTAAAGTAAAACATGAAATACCAAAATAAAACAATAAAATAAAGTCATTACAAAAATGTGATGTTGATATTCAGTAGTAAATTTCGACTTAGGTCCATTTCGACTTACGACCGGTTTCTCAGAACCGAACTCGGTCGTAAGTCGGATGGTAGGTGTACTCAGATTTTACAATGTAAGATAAGTTTGCATTGTTTTCTCTTCATAGAGAAGAGTACTCATGCTCAAAAATGCTTATACACTATGACATTTCCATTTTGTAACCAATTAACCCTATCAGGGTCCGTCCTGTAGATCTACGGCTTCACGTTGAGTGTCCAAACCGTAGATCTACGCCAAAATTCTAGCGCCGTCAAATTTAGCGCGAAAGCACTCTTAGGCCTACATGTGAGAGAACGGGTCTGCGTGGTGGGTGTGCGCCATAAACAAAAAATCTAGGCGCCCGCATAGCATTGTGGGAACGCCGGCTCAGTTACCCTTGTTCACCATGCCTCGTCGCAAGTCAGCTCTCACTCCCCGGAAAATTGGGACTCTCCTCTTCCTATCTGATAGTTCTGACACTGATGGAAGTGGAAATGAAGAAAGAATTCTACGGCTTTGATCAGTTTTGTGACCGAAAAGAATGACCAGGATATCGATAATAAAGGGAGAAAACCCTGACGATCCTCAACCTTCTACCCCTGGTGTGGGCACTCGTGGCTCACGGTCGGTTGGTTCCTCAACGCAAGAGAAAGCTAATATTTTCGCGTGGCCAGGCCCCTGACTTCAGTAATGATGATGATAGTGACGTGGATTGTGATTTTATTGCACTCAACGATCATTCGGTAGTGATAGTGAGGAATCATATTCACCAGTGAAGCGTCGGTATGTTCGCCGCCGCTGCGCTCGGGTAGTGTACCCTATGCTGGGCCCCGGGGGCGGAGTACATCCCGGAGTACATCCCGTGGCCCTACCCAGTTTTTAGTTAGTGATAGTGAGGATGATGTGGCTACACTTGGATGGATAGACCACAGGCATCAGGGATGGTGGTTTGGGGGATGGGAGTGGCACCGCCAT